GCCAGATGAATCTTCGATTGCTCTTGGAAAGTCGTATCGAAAAACCTGAAAACCCTTCGGGAATCTTCACAATTCACTCAACAAGTACCCGATGTCCTCTAACGACGATTCAGAGACATCAGCTTCTTGAGCCTACGAAAAGATGATTATATCCTTGAATGTTTGATGAGTATTGATTAAGATGTGCGATTTTCCTTAGCTTTCAATGTGTTTTGACCGATTGTTTTTAATGGAGATTATCTGGGGTCGTGCAGAAAAAGCATTTCTTAATGACATTAGTAATTAATGAATGAAGTAGTAGCACGTAATAGACCAAGTGAATTTTCGACAGTTTTTCATATATTGAATAATTCCCCTAATGATTCACTATAGAACAGAACATTGTTTTTGACACCGACTTCCAAGAGCACTTCTTAGCACAATCAATGTAATGTAAAAAAAAGATGGCGACTGTTGCAAAGGTGTCAACTGTCACCGATCTACCTGATCTCTCTGCGATAAAACAAACTCGAGCACTGAATTATTGACCTCGTTCACTGTGGAGCACGTACACATTATTTTTTCAGTCGATCCAAGCAATATGATCATTCTATTCAGGTATATCAGGTCGATGGGCAGGTCGCAGTCAGTTTCCGAATGAAGCACGAACATTTCCAGTGTTTGTAGGTGAAAACAATTTTTTTTTGCTCTTGATGACGCATACAAAACAAAGATGGCTACTGTGGCAGAAGTGTCAACTGTCACCGGTATGCTTGATCTGTCTACAACAAGGCAAACTCAGGCACGGATTTAATGACCCCGGTCAATGTGGAACACAAAATTTTCTTAATCGATCCAAGGGTTATGATTATGGCCTCCAGGTATATCAGGTCGAGGAGCAGGTCGCCATCCGTCTCACAATGGAACACGAATATTTCTCGTGCCTGGAGGTGAAAATACATATGTTTTGCACTCGATGACGCATACAAAAACAAAGATGGCTACCCTGGCAAAACTGTCAACTGTCACCGGTCTACCTGATCTCTCTACGACGAGACAAACTCAAGCACGGATTCAATGACCCCGCTCAATATGGAACACACGATTTTTTTAATCGGTTTAAGCGTTTCGATTACAGTCTTCTGGTATATCAAGTCGATGAGCAGGTTGCAGTCGGTCTACCTAATATCTCTACAAGGCGAACTCAAGCACGAATTCATTGACCTGATCCATTGCGGAGCACATAATTATTAGAGTCGATCCGAGTCTCATGATAGCCTTCAGGTACATCAGGTTGACGGACAGTTCTCCGAATGGAGCACGAATATCTCTCGTGCCTGGAGGTGAACACATATTTTTTTGCATTTAATGACGCATATAAAAAAATGGCGACCGTGGTAAAAGTGCCAACGGTCACCAGTATACCTGATCTCTTTAGGATAAAGCAAACTCAGACAAGGATTTATTGACCTCGCTCATTGTGGAGCACATCATTTTTTGATTCGATCCGAGCGTTATGATTATGGCTTTCAGGTATTTCAGGTCGATAGGCAGATCACAGTCCGTCTCAGAATAGAGCACGAATATTTCTCGTACCTGGAGGTGGAAACACATATTTTTTTGCACTCGATGACGCATACAAAAAAAAGATGGCGACTGTGGCAGAGGTGCCAACGGTCACCGGTGTACCTGATGTCTTTACAGTAAAGCAAACTCAGACACGGATTCAATGATCTCGCTAATTGTGGAGCACATGATTTTTTGGGCCAATACAAGTCTCACGATTATGGTCTTCAGGTACATCAAGTCGATAGGCAGGTCGCAGTCCGTCTCAGAGTGAAGCACGAATATTTCTCGTGCCTGGAGGTGAAAACACACATTTTTTTGCACTCGATGACGCATACAAAAAAAAAGATGGCGACCGTGGCAGAGGTGCCAAAGGTTACCGGTATAACTGATCTCTTTATGATAAAACAAACTCAGGCACGGATTTATTGACTTCGCTCATTGTGGAGCACATGATTTTTTGAGTCGATCCAAGCATTATGATTATGGTTTTCAGGTATATCAGATCGATAGGCAGGTTGCAGTCTGTCTTAGAATAAAGCACGAATATTTCTCGTGCCTGGAGGTGAAAATACATTTTTTTTTTCACTCGATGACGCATACAAAAAAAAAGATGGCGACCGTGGCAAAAGTGCCAACGGTCACTGGTGTACCTGGTGTCTTTACGGTAAAGCAAACTCAGGCGTGGATTTAATGACCTCGCTAATTGTGGAGCACATGATTTTTTGAGCCAATCCAAGTCTCTCGATTGTGGTCTTCAAGTACATCAGGTCGATGGGCAGGTCGCAGTCCGTCTCAGAATAGAGCACGAATATTTCTCGTACGTGGAGGTGAAAACACATTTTTTTGGACTCGATGACGCATACAGAAAAAAGATGGCGACCGTGTCAAAGGTGCCAACGGTCACCGGGGTACCTGATCTCTGCACGACAAGGAAAACTCAGGCACGATCTGCTTTATCCTGTCTATTGTGTAACACATATTTTTTTTAGTCAATTAGGTTCATGTGATGGATTTTTCAATGACGTTATGTCCATTCCACATTTCGCCTCGGTATTACANCTCAATCCCCCCCCCCCCCCCTATCCTGAAGCACGCAAGAACCACATAATTATGACTCATCACTTTCAGCTATTATCATCAGTTTTCTTTTTTCCACCCTTGAAATTCAATTTCTCATCTAGGGATGACTTTACCATCAAATTAATTTTTCAACCCTTACCTACTCACTACACTAGACCACGTTAAAAACACATAATTATAACCCCATTCATTCAGGTCATTCCGTGAAATGACCTGATGATTTGGAAATTTCAACCCTTAAATTGAATCTGCCCCCACAGGTGTGATCTATTCAATTAGACCCCCCTCCCCATCTCTATCTTGGAGCACGCAAAAAACACATATTTATGGCACATCGTATTTTTAAATCATCCCCTATTTTCATCTTCTCACCCCTAACTCAAAGAGGGATGGAGCACGATTTTTTTTCTGGTCGCGCACCATTTTACACATAAAAAACACATAATTTTGACCCAAAAAAATGCCATTATTTGACATTGTTCCGCTAACTTTAGGGAGGTGACTTAGTTCGCAGGTGAGTTTTTCAAGGACCCGAGTGGAAATTTTAGTCAGGTCTTGATCAGACACTGATCAGGTTACCTTATCAGATTCTCATCAGGTATGTTACGCTATAATTCTGAATTTTCCACTAGGGTTCCGCCGCCTACCTTCATTAGGCATTAATTAAATTCAATTCTTTTGAGAAACAAAATTAGTAAGTTCCTAGCCAGGAATCTAACCCGGGACCTCCCAATGTCGCGTCGCCTCTTACCATCTGAGATACCAGGACACTTACGAATTTCACTCTCAAATTGAATCATACCCGAGTGGAAATTGTAACCAGATCTTCATTAGACATTGATCAGGCTACCTTATCAAATTCTGGTCATGTATGTTACGCTAGAATTTTTGGATTTTCCACGAAGGGGTTTCTCCGACACTAAGGGAGATAGTGAATTTTTACTGAAAAAATTGGTGGCAAGAGGGGTGGGGGGGTTGTACATCGAGGTGCACATACGATTTTTTAACACGCCTGCCAAGGAAAGTATGAACGTTCCGTGCAGGGGTGTGAAAAAATATTTTTTCTAAAATCAAGTATATTTTCGTTTAAAATTAATCCCAACGTTGATCATCAATTTTAACCCTTCACGTACGGCATCGGTATCATGCATCGACCCACATAAACTTGTCCTATCGGCCGGCGTCAATGAATGGTATCGACCCTTTCCTTCGTCAGTAGAAAAATCATTTCCTCGAATTCTAAGAGACCTATTGACATTTGGAAAAGATATTTAGAAAGTCAATGGAATTGTCTCTGTAATGAACTATTTTATTTTTTTTCAATGCATTTATAATATGTTTTTCTAGAAACAAAAATTGTGGATGAAAATTTTACATCGAACCGATTCAATCATATTGAATCATCTCGTTTATTGACAAAATTTCCCCCAAAAATTTCGAAATTTTTACTGAAAATACTTCAGTAATCCTTTTATCAAATGGCAGAAGTTAAATTTCGATTTGATGAATAATTCGGTTGTTATAAATAAATTTAGCAGGTTCGAAGATCTCGGCAACCAATTGTCGGCAAACATTGAAACTGGTTTAAAAAATTAGGAAATTATGCGAAAAAAAACAGTTTTTAGGGAGTTTATTTCAAAGTTGAATGCAGCCAGTGCATTTTATTTCAATTTTTTTCATTCAACTGTTTTCAAGTTCATTGAATAACGGAGTTGACACGCTGTAAGTCTCCCGGTCGTTGGAACAATCCGCATTATATGGGCGCCGTACGTGAAGGGTTAAACGATTTTTTTCTAAAACAGAACAAAGTTTCTAAATTTTTAGAAGAGTGAAGGTTAGAAACCACAGTTTCTAAAATTTAGAAACTTTTTTCTAAACCTAATCCACTGTTTTGGCTGTATAGGAGCACTAACTGCATGTAACAACTGACCGTAAAATGGCCCAGAACTATGGTGAACATCTATATAATAACGGTCTAGAACTTCATATTCTTAAATCATTCTCCGTTACAGAAAAACTATACGCAGTATTGAGCAATCATTCACGCTCACTGCAATAAATTTTGATGGATGCAGGGCAAACATCAGAGTTTTCGCACGAACCACCCTGATGTCCACGTAAATTTTCTCGGGGCAACGGAGAAAAATTCACTATTCATTTTCCACATTTTCCCCGATGTAGGGTGAAAAAGTTCTGAAAATCGAACTAGCTCCACGGCCACTGGCCTTGTTCGGTAATTTTTCTCCAACTTTTTTTCCGTATAATAATAAAACCATAAACTCGGCTGAACAGTGGATTCCATTATTATCAATGAGAAAAAAATACCAATAATTTTAAATCGAGGGATTCTCTCGTAAATAGTGTTCAATTACCTGACTCTATGGTTGCAGCAGTTATTTTTGAGGTACTCAAATCTCAACAGAGAATAAACATAGTTCAGATATTTTGAGTCGAGCGAATTCTCTTCAGATCTATAGTAGCAATTCCTTAGATTATTGATACGCTCGATGTACCCCTTCGTCAGTATTGGAATGATATAATTCACTTGCTTGAAGCAATCGTCGATGAACTCCTCAGCTCTGGAGTTCACGAGCTTCGCTTGCTCTTGAAGAATCAGTACCCCAATCCTTGGATTTTTCTGTCTGAATATTTTACCAATGTTCCTTGCTGTTTCCTGTCCATCTTCTGTGAATGTCAACATCACAATGCTCCCATAATTTTGCTTCTCCTTCTCCAAGGAATTCGAATAATTTATTGGCAGATCAATATCTGTTAAATGAAGCAGTCGCGTTCCGGATGTTGATGAAAGTGTTTTACTTGGGACGATTGGACGTAGCATTGCGGGTATGTTGGGTACACGTTTGGGTCTCAATAAGCCTAAAAAACAAAATAATTCTATCTGAGAACTTCCTCCATCCTCTAATACCAATCAGCCAGGGAACGCCACGTAACGATATGGAATTCGTGCCTTACCGGCATTAGAGGGTCAAAATTAGATGAATAATTAAAATGATTTCCAAAAAAAGTCAAATTCTAGCATTTTTAATATTCGGTTTCCTTACTTGTTGATTGAGAACGTATGCTCAGACTCTTCATGAAAAGCATCAGAGGTTCAGAAAGTCTGTCAACGACATCCAACCTGTTCATTTTTTGCAATGCAGCTAATACTTTATCCATTGTTGCATCGATAGACTGAACGAAAGTCAATAAAACATAATATGTAGGGTCTTGCAGGCCTCTTAAATCATTCTTTATATAATCTAACTGTGCTTTGGTCAGATCCAGATGGACTCCAAAGTCCTGCCATCTCGAATATATTCTTCCCGCTGGTGTGGAGCTGATGAGATCACAAATTTTTTGAAGGACTGGGAAACCTTCAGGCTCGAACAAATACGCAGTATGAATTCTTGAACTCAATATCTTGATATTGAGAACGCTCAGAGGAATGATTGGACTTAAAACTAAGGGAACTCTGGGAATATGTTTGGGCCGAAAAAAGTCTGAAACAAAGAGAAAAGCCATGAAAATATCATCTGACCTAATCAGAATTCGGTAAATTTACTCGGTAGAATTTAGCCAATTGGTTCCTGGAAGCAATAGGGTCTTGTATAAAGTAATCTAAAAATCATCCGATCTGAATTTCCGTTTTGTGATGGCTGCTGTTTTTCGTTCTTGACATATGCAATATTGATTTAGAGAAAAATCAACAGCGGATATATCCTTAAATGAGACACAGAAACGTAGACGAATAATAAATTGAACTGTTCATTCGAATGGCAACTCGATGGAAGAATATTTGTATTAAATCGTCGATCACTTTGTTCATGGTAATATTGAACTTACAAAAATGAATATTTTGGTCCTCGGTTATTTTCTATAAAACAATGATATTTGAAGGAATAAAAATTTGATGACATTTTCTTGAAGTTTAACGTGAGATTTTTCTCTTGCCTTATCCTTATTCTACAGCCAACGTTCTTGAGTAGTTTTACAACAGATGTTTACAGGAGTTTAATGTGATCAATGCTCATGGGGTTTTTGCGAAAAAATTAAATAGAATGACAGTACAAAAGGGAGACTGGAGTAAAATGATCATTAGGGATAGATGAAAAAATAGAGTTGAATAGCCAAACAGAAGACAGAAACAAAAAAATTCTCAGAAACAAAACTTTCAACCAAAGAGCGATTATGATCCTAGCACCAGAATTTTACTCCGGCTGAAAGTTGCGTCCCATTTACAGTGAGAACAGTAATATTTCAAGGATTTTTCCGTGTGTATGGTCTCTTTCATTTGAAGCTTGAAGCGGTTTTCCTCACCCTTATCATGTTACCCTTGAGATGTTTATGCACATATCTCTCAACCCTTATTATCTTTCGGCTACTCTATCCCCATTTGGCCATTACGATCGTTTGAGCCGTACGGTTGATTTGCTCCACTCTTCTGTTTATTTCCTATAATCATCGAGATACGCTGTAGCGTATCGGCCAAGAAATTTTAATTCGGACTGTACAAAACATCAGGCCGAGCGCACCGCGTATCTATACACGACAGAAATTCCTCCTCCACTACATCCAAATGATTGCCATTCGGTATAATAAAAATGAGACTACAAATCAGAAAAGTGTCCCTAGTTACATTATATAAAACGCGTATGAGCTTTTCAGCGAAGTAGCTATTGTATTTTTCATATTAAGGCCCGCATGGAGGGATTTTTTTCTCGAATGGCGATTTTATGCCCCCCCCCCCTGTAGCGCCGCGCTACATCCTAAAACGCGAACACTGGCTAACGACGAGCACAGGTATTTGCCGTCTCATTCACACCTTCAGTGCCACGCGTATTCTTTTCTGATTCGTCAAATCGTAAGGATATTCGGCCGCATCGCTGGCACCTTTCCGTGCGAATATCATCCAGTCTAACCGTACAGCTCGTATCGCACACTTGATCGGATCATATTATTTTCTCTTCGCCTTTGTATTAATTTGACGCGGATAATAAATCTGTAATTATTAGTTTAATTGCATTTGTTAGTGGATTGTTACCTTGCCGACAATACCTCAATCCCTACATTGGTGACCCCGAGGTGATCAAAATAAGGGAAATTCGCGTTAATCAAAAGGGAAAATTAACTCGTGGCGTGGCGTGCATTTTTGCTCGAAAGTTTTAGCCGCGTTTCCCAACGGTTTTATCCTATCCTTGGTGAACACCCGTACAGCTAGCTTTCCAGTGCCGCATAACTCCGAATGCGAGGGCAATTTTATTTCACGTGCTTGATAAAACATTAGTTTCACCGTGTGGTTTTTCTCAACGGAAATATTAATTACGGCATTTCGAAGCTTCTAAAACATTCAAAGCGTCCGAGTGCCAACCGTCGATTCCTCAGTGTTTCGGTAAAATCAAAACAAAGTGGCGTATTCAAGTGAACAGTGACCTCGCACCGACACATTGCTGAGCACCCAGAGACGTTGTGTTGTGTTGGTGATAAATACAGACTTATAACGCCTTTATTTGTCATCACATTTATACTTTCAATTTTATTTCTCTTCGAAATTTCATTTTGAAAATCGATAATCCTAGCTTCTCATTCAAAACCAACAACGTGAGATACGATGTCTACCACAACAGGCGGAACGCTGACGGTCCCGACTCTCACGACAACGACAGCCTCCGCACTGCCGCAGATCAAGGCACCGGAGTTCTCACGTTACAAACCCAGGACTTGGTTCATACAGCTGGAAGCCCAATTCCGCAATTACGGAATTGTACCAGAAACAGATAAGTTTTACCGAACATTACCATTAATTGATACAGAATCAGCTGCTGAAGTAAAGGATGTAGTTATTACTTCCGATCAAGTCGCACCTTTCCAAGCTCTCAGAAACACTCTGATTGCTCGATTTACAAAGTCAAAGGAAGTAAATCTTATCCAATTACTTGATCGGGAGTCGATTGGAAATCGAGTACCCTCTCAATATCTAAGGCATTTAAAAAGTTTAGTTCCAGATATCGATGATGAAGTCTTGAGGGCACGCTGGCTATCTCATCTTCCGGAGAGCACCCGAGCATGTCTGGTGATCCAGCCCCNTGAAGTCTTGAGGGCACGCTGGCTATCTCATCTTCCGGAGAGCACCCGAGCATGTCTGGTGATCCAGCCCCAGGCAAACACCGATGGCCTACACTGAGAGAAAAGCTCGCAATGATAACAACACAGAATTGTGAAGTAAGACCTTAACAATGGATTCCAATTACTGTAACATTTCAGAGAATGTAAATGCATTGCGGTGCGAGTTACTACCGGATAAAAGTTGCCACAACAATTTCCTAAGTTAGTTATGTCTTATTGAGTGAAAAGATCTGAAAACAATCGCATTTGATAATACTAACAAAAATCATTCGGTAAAATTCAGTGCTACACGAGGGTAGTCGATTTTATATG